TTCACATCCTCCCTGGACAAGGGAGGCCGGCGGAATGACAGCGGGCCGAAGGCTAAACTCCCCAGTGGGAACACCGAACTCTTCGCTCCATATTTTGTCACAGAGCGCAATTGAGTAAGTTGAACATAGATCACGTGACTGTGTCCAACTTCGGTTCTCCGGTCTGCAAGGGCTTTTATGTGTCCACTGGCAATGAAATACATGGAAGAAGATTCCTGTATATCTGCAGGGTGTTATATGCTCTACCCCAAGCTCAACACCCGCTCCGATTTTTCTAATTTCTGCTTGTAGTTACATCATGCGATGTAGCTGGAGACAACTTCGATAGACAGTGACATAGCCAGTGCGAAGAGCTGGCTGGAAAGATTGGCACCGTTACCAGTCCCTGTGCGCCTTTGCATTTCTGGGCGAGCGTCTAATCCTGGGGCATTGATCATGATGGATGTGCTGATCAGCGCAGCCCATCGGTGGGAGCGGGCGACCTTCGAGTTCGATTCACTGGCCGGGCTGTCTCGCATTCCCCCAAATGCCTTGGGAGCCTTTCAATTCCTGATATTAGAAACTCGAGACAAACAAAGCCATCCGAAGGTCGTAGCCTTCTTAAATGCCCCTCGTCTCCGCCACCTTACTTATCGACAAACCGCTCTTCCTTCAGTGCCATGGTCCCCGCTCATTGACATCTCCGCGACCAACTCATCTCCCCGGTTCTGCGTCGACGCTCTCCTGTAGTGCACGAATATCGTTTCCGCCAAGTTCGATACATGTGCATCATGGCCCACATTCCCAGATCTGTCCGAGACAGTGTCTCGGTTAGAAGCCCTTCCCTTGGCTGTCTCCACATCACGAGGTCTTCTTGAAGAGCATTTCATGTTGTTCTTCGTGTGTCTGGCGCCCCCCGCGCTGAAAGAACTCAGCCTAGACCTCGATCTCGACCTCATCTGGCCGTCCCTGGGATTTTACCCAACTCGCCCATGAGATTCAGCGATCTTTGGGTAGTACTTCGACCTGCTCCGTCTCTCACGGAGCTGCAAATGGACTGCGACGCGGTCTTTTTCAAATATGCCCTCCTTGCGGGTCTCCAGTTTTCTGAAGGAAACATCGTGCATTTGGTTGCCAAAGTCGAGACCCTGTCTTTCGTGGGTTCCGGCTCCGATTTCGAGGAAGATGCGTCGGCTGTCATGATCCATCCAGTCACGATGGTGGAGGGATGAGCAACACAATGCGCTCCCCGCCCCTCCCAATGTAGCCCGTTGGTTGAGCATCGATATTGGTTGTAACGCAGGCGATAGCTATATAACTCCGAAGTTTCAGGTAAGGATGGCTGAGTATAGGTCGCAAGGTCTTGACGTAACCGTGTATTGATATCAGGGCATAATTAGAGGTATCTCATCTCACCTGTGCGTCCTGAGCCTGTACTGACCGTTTCCTCAGTTTGTGTAGACGTTGAATACTTTTCGGGAATTTGTAATGCCGACTTGCGGCAGTTCACATGATTTAACAATCTTGCTTCTGAAGTCCTGATTGGAGTCTCGTCTTTTCGCACACTCGCACCTCCCTTGCTCCACCTTCTGCTTACTTAATAAGCCATGGCTGAATCTCCCTTCAAAATTTAGATTCCAGATGCCAGCATCGATCAAATCCATCAGAAGCTCAAGCTTACCACTCTCCCCGATGAGCTTGACGGCGCGGGATGGGACTATGGCGTGCCACTAGTGGACGTTAAGCGGCTCGTTGCACGATGGCGTGACGGATACGACTGGCGGCATCACGAGGCAGAACTTAACTTTAGTCCCGACCAATATATTCGTGTTGCTTGTATTTTTAATAATATCATCACATTATTTGCCCTGTATGTTGTTAAATCCCAGGTTTGGTGCGAATAAATGCTCCATCTTGACATATGAACCCAACGTCATTCGTGACCTGGACTGATTCAGCTTTGTTCAGCGAAGACATATCGCAAACAACCCACATCCACAGCGTTACACATCACGTCCACCTCACTGTCACTCTCTGTTTTAGCAACAATATTCTTCGTCCTCACATTCGTAGCTGTGCCGCGCTATCGTAAGAACCCAGCCAGAAATCAGAGAGTTCTACACCTCACCTGTACCGGGATATAAATCCAATATGACGACCTCTCTTCCCGTCGCATTCGCAACGAAATACCAGCAAGGGTCAGTAATGCAAGATCCTTCTTTGGGGCCAATGTCTCTTATGGTGCCAGAGAAGTTTTCGAATGAGAAATCTTCGATGTGGGTAGCATTGTTGGGGTCGGGGTTTGCGGGTATGACTGGTCGAGTCGAAGTCTAAAACAAGGGTGATCTACCGAACGACTTGGGGACGATGTCACAGCCGTACCTCTTGGTCAAAATAGCTATAGAAATTCTAGTAGGCAAACGGAATCGAAGATAAATCAATATGCGTACTTTTGAGTGACATATATGGGGAAAACAGTGTCCACAAATCGAATATTTCTGTAGGTCACACTTACAGGTCGATCAGGACTGATTCGGCCTCAGAGGTTGAAGGCTTAGCTTACTTGCGAGTTAATCCAGGTCCGCCTGTCCAGCTCTTGAACCTGGCGCCGTAGGGGCCTGATTTCTATATGCAGCTCAATGGATGTAACATCGGTAGGTAGGCCGGGAAACTAGCCAGCAGGACATTCTCAAATCTACCAGATGTTCATCAGCGCAGGTTCTGTTCTGTGATATGAGACATACAAGAAGTTTTCTCCCGTTGCAAAGGAGTTGTTGGAACTCGAACCGATGGTGGTAGAGAGCCCATGCGAGCCTTCGCAGTAAGCGTCGCTGTCGATCCGGTGGTGAGCAGCACATAGATATCAGGGAAAGAGAACCACCAACCGAAATGTGATGTTCACAGCTCCATTGGTGATTGTAATGCAATCGTCCCCGTTGACAACGTAGTTATTTTCGAAGAGCTGATTTGTTCCTTGAGCACCAAAACCTGGAGAAGGAATCGGTCTGAGCTGCAGTGGGAAGGGAACAGAGGAATATACCATCGCTGTGAAGGTATGCATCGAATTACTAGGCGATGGCAAGGGGGATAAGAAGGAAGACGACTTGCGTATTGAATGGAAAAGACTGGGACGTGATAAATCTTCAAATTGATGAATGAGTCCTCCACCTACATCGGTATCCGACTTCGCGAGGATTGTATTTCCAAAGACATGCACATTAGATGATCCAGTGGTCTGATAGTTCCACTCAACTGGCTGTGCTCGCAGTCAGAATAGAGGCTTCAATCCATTTCAACTGAGGTTATAGACCTTATAAATTTTCATATCTCGGATGATTCCTCCGTTGATATTGTGAAACCATATCCCGTGAGGGCGATTAGTTTGTTCCGTTGCATCCCACCACTTGATGAGGAGTAGATGATTGGAGGGTGCAGAAAGGGGGAAATGAAGCAAATCAACGTACCGTTTGCCCATGTCCATCGATCCAACCCCACTCGGGATCGATGGTTCCTCGGAGAGTGACGTTGGTTCCCCCAGTAAAAGTCATCCTAGAAGAATATCAACGAAATGGTAGTCATGGAATGGGTGGCCTACATCGCTCCAGGATATTCCTATGAGCATCAAAGCTCACTCAGTCCCGACGCTCCATCACAAATCTTATCCATACCTTCGCAGCAACGACACCTATTCTCCAAAATAAATACAACAATCAAAACTCCCCAATCTCGAATTATACCGGGGCAACCCACCTTGTAAAGCCGCAATATCCTCCAAATAGCTCATATTTCCTTCGATCCTAATCTCAACATTATGCAAGACCGGAAGTCGTATGGCGGAGAAGAAGTTATAGGTGATGCCTTTCTTGAAAATGATCGTCGAATTAACTGCCAAATCCCGGGTTGTCCCATTCGAAGACACGAATGCCGCCGTCAGAGGTGACATATCATCTCCTCCAGACGAATTATGGGGCACGACAAAGGTGGTCCATCCCAATACTTGATGAACGCTCAGTAGGGTGAAAGCGAGGAGGGAAATGGGAGTCAACATCTTTCCAAGACATGGTGACTCCCTAGAAGCCCTTAAAGCTTCATTGATTCCATTCCAGATGTCTTCCTTGCTTCTGGTTGGACGTTCTGGTCGAGATTAAAATCGAACATGACCCATGTGATCATGTTCATGACGGACCGGTTCGGACCGGTTTCTTCTCCTTCCCCATTTTTCAGTGCTTCAGCCGTGTATCATTTCACGATGAAACGATTCTTGCTTCACTCTCCGAACCTATCGCGATCGGCGAAAAATTGAAGGATTCGCTGGAGATTGGGGCGAATTTTCCATGGCAAGTACTTCTTCGGCCGAAATAGGCGGAATATTGGTCGAAATATTATCCGGCCAGTCTCCTGGGAATATAGGCTGTTTCCGCTGAGTATTGGCCGAATATTGGCCAGAATATTAACGGAATATTGACCAGCCGTTGCCTAGATCCAGTACCCCAGTCCAAAATTACTCGTATCTGGAGCAGATGTGGTGATGTCATATGTACATGTTTGTTCTTCCGAATCTACCCCGTTTGTCTTCTTCACGGCGCAATCCGGTTCCCTTTTAATTCTATCTTGGGCAGCTGACCCAGTGCATTCGACGGCCTGAGGCTCGAACCGGGGTTTCCTAAAAGCCATGGATCGGATTTAAATTTGAGAGGTGGTCGTTTTGTGCAGGTGAGCGTTAGGAACGGAGAAGGAAAATCAGCAGAAAGTCCTGATGCATGGCTACGGGTGCAAGTGTTGCATATAAGTTATGCTCTGCTCGCGTCACGGCCGCACTCCTGAGTGAGGGCAGCCGCAAGCAGGGAGCATAGAAGAAAAAACTGAAGCTCTGCTCGCCGCGTTCCAAGTCTCCTGCGGGGAACCGGTTCAAAACTAAATTCAACTTCAGGTCTACCGAGTCCTGCGTTTAGGAGTGGAATCAAAGATGTAAATAATAAAATTCAGCCAGAGCCCACCAAAAAAAAATCCACCCAGAGATATTCAGACACAGGGATTCGAACCCTGAATTCCCTCCGATGACAGAATTTTGGCTAATAAGAAGAAGCCATGTTCCCGCTACACCTTGTCTGAGTTCTTTTCCTTTATATCCAGGCAGTTTTATTAGGACATTCAGAGAGGAATGCAAGAATGTAAAAATGTAAAAGACAAATGTATCATACACAGGGAGTCGAACCCTGGACTACCTCTGAACCGATGCACCCGTGTTTTTTGAGAAGAAGTTGTATCCCAGCTACACCTTTTCCGATCCATTCCCGGTACATCCGTGCAGTTTTGGTACAAAGAAAAAGGTATGGATCAACGGTGCATTCAAACACAGGGATTCAAACCTTGGGCTACCTCTCATGTCATTTTTATCATGAAGAATAGAGGCTGCCTTCCCACTAAACCATATCTGAGTTCCACTACTCTCCATGCTTTATTAACCTGAGATTCAAGTTTGATTGGAGGAGCTTGCGATTGGCGGCGCGGCCGGATCCGGAAGCAATTTTGGGGGGTATCAGTGCCAACCTCAGCTCGTGATGTGTGCTTTGCGAGGAGCCCAATCTATGATGGTGTCGAGCTTGCCGTCTTCGTCCAGCCAGTTGCGGGTAACCGGTGTTGGTGACCTTCTCAAATTGGCGTGCATCCAGATTCCAGATCCCCCTAGCCCCGCGGGCAGAGATCCACTTCCACGCTTGCTCGCAAGTGCAGGTCCGAGTCCGAGTCCACACGCTCGCAAACTTGAATCCACATCCCCTGTGCTCGCAACTCCGAATGCATGTGCCTTGCCGCGATGAGCACGAAGGAATGGGTATTGGCGTTGTGGGGAGGTGCGAGGTAGGGAAGGGTGCGGGCGAGCTGGGGGCGGGGGAGGTATGCACGGTGCAAGTTCATTGTCCTGTTATTAGTTTTTTGTAAAAAAAAAAAGGATCTTGTTTGAATGTACACCAAGTGAGCGGGGTTCCTGGTGGGGTAGTGCCCCCGCATTCGATAGGAGTGGAAGATGACAAAAGAAAAACCCTTTGTCCTCAGATATTCAGACACAGGGATTCGAACCCTGGACCACCTCTCAATTTGTTACTAATCTCGTTAAAATAGGAGGCTGTGTTCCCAGTACACCACATCTGACTTCTTCTACAAGGACTTGGGTTGGGTTTATCAGCTAGTTGAGTATTAGCTGGTGGTGTTTGAATGTTGACTCGAGTCGGAGTGAGTTCCTACTCTGACTAAACTCTTTGAGCCTCGAGGTTGGATGGCCTGGAGCTTCGAGGTCGAGGGAAAGCACGGTGATGAGAAAATGAATTTATCACACAAGACAAAAAAAATGCCCCACGTGAATTCAGACACAGGGATTCAAACCCTGGACCACCTCTCAATTTGTTACTAATCTTGTTAAAATAGGAGGGTGTGTTCCCAGTACACCATGTCTGACTCCTTTTGCAAGGACTTGGGTTGGCTTTATCAGCTAGGGGAGTATTAGCTGGTGGTGTTTGAATGTTGACTCGAGTCTGGGTGAGTTCCTGCTCTGACTAAACTCGAGGTTGGATGGCCTGGAGCTTCGGGTTCGAGGGAAAGTGCGTGATGAGAAAATGAATTTATCACGCAAGACAAAAAATATTTATCTACAGTGCAAATTCAGACACAGGGGTTCGAACCCTGGACTGCCTCTTATGCATTAACAAATGGCTCAAAGAAGAGAGGCCATGTCCCCAGTACACCATGCCTGAGTTGCTTCTCAGTATATCTGGGGAGTTTTATCACCTCGTTTTGGGTGGCAATGGTGTTTGAATGTCCTAGTAGGGGTTCTTGTTTTTCAGATATTCGAGGTGGTGTGGATGGGAGACTGGAGCTTCGATCCTCACCCTTCAGCAAAGCTCGACTCGACACTCTGCGCCGCGGCGTCACTCCATGAGAAAATGTAATAAAAGAGAGAGAGAGAAAAGCCTTTCTCGACTTAAATTCAGACACAGGGATTTGAACTCTGGACTGCCCCTCACCCAATGCTCAGGTTGCAATATCAACGGGCTGTGTTCACACTACACCATGTCTGAGTTCTTTTGTACTTCCATGGTGGGTTTTATGTGGCTCGCTTAAGCAAGGAGAGCAGAATTAAAAATAGATTGTTGGGATTGTACTCAGACACAGGGCTTCAAACCCTGCACTGCCTTTTAATTATTCGGCTCCAAGTAAGAAGAAGAGACTGTGTTCCTGCCACACCAGATCTGAGTTCCTTTGCTATTTCCATCTCAGCAGTTTTATCGGCTTATTCGAGGGAGGACGGAAGAAAAAAACTGAGAACAAACTCAATTTAGACACAGGGATTTGAACCCCGGGCTGCCCCTCACAAGATGGCCACTTTGGAATGTTAACGGGCCGTGTTCACACTACACCATGTCTGAGTCCTTTTCCCGCTTCCATGGTAGGTTTTATGTGGCTCGCTTAAGCAAGGATAGAAGAATGAAAAATAGATTGTTGGGATTGTACTCAGACACAGACAGGGCTTCAAACCCTGGACTGCGTCTTAATTATTCGGCTCCAAGTAAGAAGAAGAGGCTGTGTTCCTAAGTTCCTTTGCTACTCCTTATCGGCTTGTTCGAAGGAGGACGGAAGAAAAAACTGAGAATAAACTCAATTCAGACAGAGGGATTTGAACCCTGGACTGCCCCTCACAAGAAATCTACTGTACCATGTTAACAGGCTATGTTCCCACTACACCATGTCTGATTCATTTTCCTGCTTCCATGGTAGGTTTTATGTAGCTCGTTCAAGAGGGAGGAAGAAACAGCAGGTGGCAAATGTAGATTCAGACACAGGGATTTGAACCCCGGACTGTCTTGAAGGTCTTGAGGCGAGAACAATAACAAGAGGCCATGTTCCCAGTACACCATGTCTGAGTCCTTTTCATCTCCGTCCGGGCAGTTCTATTAGGGGCAGTCAGAGTAGACGATTCTCGTCGATTCTGAGGCGGTTCTGACAGCCGATTCTGACGGCGGTTCTGATTTATTTAAGTGTGGGAGAATTGTCGAAAATCAGAATCGACTTGGATTTGTAAAACCGCCTCCGGAGGCGGTTTTACAATGATTCTGAGGCGATTCTGGTTCTGATTAAAATACGATTCTCGTCGACTACAAGCTTTGTGACTCCCGTACTCCCGCTTGTGCTGACAAATATTATTGATTTCTGCCGCTGCTGCCTCCGCTCACCACCCGCCGACCTCTGTCCCATCCTCGCTATGGCCAAGAGAGCCGTCGCCACCTCCGAGAAAGCCTTGATGGCCGCCGCTGTCGCCGCCGCCGAAGCAAAGGAGCTTGAGGATGGAGAAAAACCCCCGAAAAGACCGCGCGGCCGCCCCAAAAAGCCTACACCGGTCGCAGAGCCAGTCACAGAGGAGCCGCTGCTGGACGCCAAAGCCGCCCTGGCGCAATCCATCCAAGAAGCAAAAAACATCGTCATAGAGTGCATAGGTAGCGCTCCACGATGTTTTTCCACACTGACATGCCGACAGATGGGACTTTGAGAGTCTATACTAGAAGAATGGGACTGGGACTCACCCAGTCCTATCATCAGTATGTGAGTCCTATCAATGAGGAAGGAGAATGGGACTCGCCGTTGGAGAATAGGACTCGGACCATCAACGGACATCAGCCCACTCCTGCCGCATCGTCGGCAGATCACGGACATGTGCACATCATTATGTGACCATTGTCACGCGAAGTCTCACTACATACGCGTTCCTCGAGTCGCGCGCGGCGTGGTGCAGACAGAAAAATTATGCGGGGCTTCTGATTCGTGAGTATGAGTTTTGGAGTAGTAATTCCCACGTTGTCATCCCTTGGATTCCATCCCCCGGCCGAAGGGATCATAAGTCAGATTGCCGAGCACACTGGTGCACCACTGGAAATGCCTCCCGACCTAAGATATTAGTACGTCTAGGAATACCCTGGGATAAAACATGCTCACAACTTTCCTCAGGAGAAGACCAAGTTTCATATAAGGAGCTACTGGGAATTCCAACGAGGATCTGGCTCATCTTTGTAACAAATGTGCCGCAAAAAAAGGTGCTCCGACAGTCAACCGACAGTTTGGTTCATGTCTGCTCTCATTGGGATCTTGAAGAGGATGAAACCAAATCATAATCTGGACAGCTACAGGCTCATTGCTCTCGAAAGCGGCTTCCTGAAAGCGATGACGAGCCTCATACACTGGAGAATCTTCGTTTGAGCAGAGGCGTGTGGCTTGCTTCCTCACTGGCAAAACGGGCTCAGACCAGGGTATCGCACCAATAATAATCTGTTCATCCTTCGATGCCTGCGAGACTGGGCTCGAGCAAGTGGGCGCACGCTGTACGCTGTTGCAGTCGATGCATCAAATGCCTTTTCCTCTATGGATCAACCAACGATGTGGTTGAAATTATTCTGTTTAGGGATGGGTGGTGCAACTTTGACTGGCTTTGAATGCTGTACCAGAAAATGGCCTACTTTGTGTGACACGGTGATATGAAGTCCGAGGAATTTAAGGTTATCATCGGCCTTCTTACAAAAAACCCGGCGTCACCTATTTTTCGGAACCTATTTCTGGCCGATCTTAAAATGATGCCCGACATGGACGAGGTTTTCCTGCCTACTGTCCGAATACACCTGCTTGCGCAAGCCGACGATCCTCTCCTTATATCTTTCTCTGCCCGTAGGCTTCGAGTAAAAATTTCCACGCAACATGATCAAACCCATAATATAGAAGGACGGTGCAGCTGCTTCCAGTCTTCATGCTCGGATCAATTCAGCTGAAGGTAGAGATTGAAGAGAAATATGTCGGTGTATTATTCAGCACAGACACTCAGAATATGTTTGTGGCTCATTACAAGGCCAAACATGTACAGCCTGCTTCTGTGCTCATCGCATCGTGGGAATCGAAGAGTGATAGGCAGGCTCACTCCGAAAGAACTCAAGGAGCTTTACCTGGCCAGTGGATTGTAATCTGATCCACGGATGCGAAACGTCCCCGGACATCGAAGACGACCACGTCAAACAATCGAGCAACGTCCAAATAGGCTTCATTCGTCAAATGCTTAATCTACATCCTCATTCTATAATTGCGCCGCTATTGACCGAAACTGGGATAATGCCGCTTCGAGTACGACGCCTCCTAGTCGTCTTGAATTACCTGCTTATTTGCTTGGACTCGGCAAGAACCACTATGCCCGCGCAGCTCTAGATAGCTCACTTGAACTATCGGCCATGGGTAAAAGATCTTGGGCCAAGGACTTAATCGCCATTGCCTCAAGGCTACCATTCTGCTGCCCCGCATTAGTTCTGAACGACAGCACCTCAGTTGAGGATGTCAAGAACTACATTAAAGTGGTTGAAAAGCTCATGCTGGAAGGAGGATGCAATCGACTCGTCAGACAAGCTATACTTACTTCGTGGAAGGCTAGAACCTCAGAAGGCCAAACCCCCGACGCAAGTGACTTCTAAATACGGCACTATCTTACAATGATGAAAATACAGGTGCACTGAGAGGCATTAATCTCGATCCTTTTGTCTATCTGCCAGTTGGCCGTTGAAGTTTTGCGTTACGTGAATCACGTGTATCAACTAGTGCCCCGGGCGGATCGGTCTGAAAGAGTGAGATCGAAACAGCTAGTGACCTGCACGGTCGCAAACGAGCTCGTGCAGCTGCGCGGTATATTTTTGGCTAAATTATATTCTCCATCTCGAACCTGGAGTTCGTAAAGACCGTGATTTACTCTAGACCCTCGTTCCGAAATATGCCCACTATGTCCTCAAAATTTTCTGCGCCACTCACGTGTTCCGTTTAAGTGCTTGATCTACTCTGCCCGGCCCCATTCTTTCCGTTTAGTTTTATTTCTTTATATTCCATTAGTTCTATCGCGGCAAGTCGTGAGGCTGCGACCGTGAGCTCGGCTACGGGGGCATAGGGAGGCCCAGGGGTAATAGTGTACTTGTGCATGTGCACCTAGATATCTCTTGGAAACCAGCGTTCATAAGCGGGACCGGCGGTGTAATACTACCTATCTACCTACCTGTAGGCTTTCATCTCACCCTGTGATATATCGGCCGCAGACTCAAACATGGTGGGACAAGGAAAATATAAGTTAAAGAACCCGGAAAGTACAGCACCAGGCACCTACACGCCGTCGGTCAGGTGAACTGCGGTCACACATCTGATGGCTACTCTAATTGTTGAGATGTTGGGTCCCATCCTTGATGGGGCGAGTCCTATCTTTGATGGGGTGAGTCCTATTCTCCTTTCCTCATCAATAGGACTCGCGTACTGATGATAGGACTGGGCGAGTCCCAGTCCTATTCTTCTCGTCGATACTCGGACTTTGACCTCACTTGGACCTTGATCAACGCCATCGAAGAGGACGAGGAGATACAAGATGGGCTATTCCCTGGCGTCGGTGCCATCAAACGCAATGGTGGACAGCCCAAGACTCACTTCTATGCGCTCCTTGCGAAGATTTGCTTCGCAAAACACCTCAAGTACAAAGAGGCATATGCCAAGGCTATCCTCCCGAAGCAGCTGGAGGCCTGGAGAGACAAAATCAAGAACAGGGTTAAAGCGTGAGCACTGTTGGAGTATCCTGGTCGTATCGTCAGCGTGCTGATTGGGCCCTACCCAGATTGGTCAAGAGGTGTCGTGAGCACATTACAACGATGGGGGAGACTGGGGCCGGCATGACCCCGGAGGACGAGATACTCCCCGGGACTGAGTTGACGACGAAGTGGGGTGAGTGCGCGGTCCAAGTCGAGTGACACAAATCTTGACGTGTGTACACAGATCTTATCAAAGCGGACTCTCCTTCGTTCTTTGCCGTACGGACCTTGATTGCATCGCGGCCAAACCTACAGCCCGTCGGGCTTGGAAACACGGACACCGAGATCGATACCTCCATCTTACTCCGCTCCCAATACGACGACACCTCCAGCAACTTTGACGACACCCACGACCTCTCCTCGGAGGGCCCAGACCCCGAGCTCTCGGACGTGCAAGACGCCTCCGGGGCCCCACTCGACATCAGCTCGGATTCAGACGACGACATCCCCAACGTCCCAACCCTCGCAGGCACCAAACGGCAGGCTCCTGCCACTACCTCCAAGGCGGAAACCAAGCCTCCCAAGAAGAAGACAAAGCCTGTACCGGCTACGTCCATCCCAGCCGCAGCTGCAGCTGTGCTCCCTACGAAGAGCAAGAGCGCCAAAGACCGCTTTTCGGCGACTATTGTGGCCGAGGAGGAGGCCCACCAGCGGGCGTTGGCGGTGAAGAAAGACCGGAACGATGCGCGGAAGGAAGTAGCGTTAAAGAAGATCGAGATGGATGGGGAAGTGCGCTTGGCAAAAGCACGGTCGAAGCAGGTGGAAAAAGAGCGAAAGCTGGACTTGGCCCGCTTGAAGATAGAGCAAGAGCACCAATATCGCATGGCGCAGCTTCAGACTCATGCAGGGCCGAGCTCCATCTCATTCTCCGGTGGCGGCAGCAGCAGTGGCGGCGGTACCTCGCAGGATGACGACTTTTATCATTCCGGACTCTATGGTAGTCTGTCTGACGGTCGTTCTGACCTCTTCAAATAGTTCCTTTAGTATATTCTACGCTAGGTATCACGTCAATCTAAAGTTCCCGTTCCCGCGCGCGCCTCGCTCTCTTCCTTTCCTTTGCGCGGAACAGCTTCCCCTTCAAAACCTCCCGAAAGCGTTTGCCAGCAGTGTCGCGGCCGCGTACAGGGCCTACGGGGATATTACTGCCATCATCGAGCGAGTCCGAGTCGGACAATCCTTCCGCAATAAAAGGATCCGGATTGTCGGAGTCGGTGTCTCCCTCACGCTCCTCTTCCTCACGATCCATCGCAAATGAATGAATTCCCACACATGCAGAAACCCAGTAGGTTGCGATCTTGTGAGATTTTTCATCTGGGATGTTGACGCGGAGGTGCTTCAAAGAGTGGAATCGGCCCTTGAGAAAGCCGATTGCATGCTCGGAGCGGATGCGAAGCATAGAGACGTGGTTATTGAACTCTTCTTTCTCAGGCTCGAGGGCCTCAGGCCTTTTGTACGGTGCTGTAACCCAATCTCCGAGCTGATGAGGTGTAAGGATAGCATGAAACAAATGATTAGAGACGTGCCGTATATGCTGAGTCCGCCCAAATCCATTCGCCATCGGGGAAGAGCTCCGCGCGCCTCTGGTAGATGGCTGTATCTTTGAAGGCGACCGAGTCGTGGGTGCTTCCAGTACGCCCATAGCTAAAGTCTATTATTTTGAGATTCGGCAGATTAATTACCTGTTAACGACGTTAAATTTCAAGCAGACACGTTTCACGGTCACGAGCGCACCTGTATATTCAACGAGTAATTACATTTCCGGTCAAAGTAACTCTCTCCGTACCAGGTGGGACGTTGGTCGAGCGGCACAAGGGTGCCATCAACAAAACACCACCCATCCCTCCAAGCCCTGCACGACTTTTTATGGACCCACTGCTTCGCTTTCTCCTTCTCCTCACGCGTCGGCATCCTGACAGCGTTCTGCATAAACCCGGGGCGTAGGACAGCGGTCATAACGCGCCGTGTGATGAGGTGAATGGTGCCCTTTCCTAATCCGGCCCAATTCCCGACTGCTTGCATGCTTGCAGCGTTCCCATCGTGTCCGAATCGGAACAGCGCTACGGCGACTTGCTGCTCCACTGGAAGCTATGGGTGATTGGAATTGTTTGCAAAGACCGGGTCGTCCTCGAGCGTAGCAACGAGTGCATCGAAGGTGATGGGACTAACTCGAAGGTTTTGCCGGAAATGGTCGGGACGCCCGGCTTTGAGCGCCATAAGGACATGATGCAGGTATGACGGGCCACGGGGGAGCGTGTCGCGGGGCTGTTCGTATCGGTTCTGATACATGTCGTCGATCTCCGACTGTATCCATCGACGAAGAAGAAATGGGCGTTGGTCAGCCGTATCTTCGTCGTCGGAGTCTCCACTGTCCTCGTCATCCCCTTCCGCCCCCGAGGATCAGCTCCAGGCAGAGTCTGAACCAGAGTCGGAGCTGGAAGAGTCCGAGCCCACCGACAGAAGCTCTGGCATCCCGGAAGGGTTAGACAACGTGGTGGAGGTCGTAAGTCCTGTGATGGAGTATTCCCAGTCCACGGAGATGTCGCTGGTGAAGCGCCAGTTGGGGCCGAGGATGTCGCTCCATTGGGAATCATCACTCGAAGTATCTGAGGAGCTGCTCGAGCTGTCGCTGGAAGTTGAGGAATCCGAGCCGCTGGATGCTCCGAAATCAAGATCGACACCAAAAAGTGAAGTACGCGGTGCTGGATTGGCCTGTCGGGCTCGGGCCGCAGCGCGTCGACGGAGAAGAGCACGTCGCTGTCGTCCTTTGTGGTTTCGGATGTACGACTTCCAAAGAGCGCCCGCCCGTTGGGCACGACGAGCGGCAAGAGGCATGATGAGATGATGTGTACAGCCACCAAGGATATCAATTCATTTTGTATTGATTTTGTAGAGTCGTTTGGATGGGAGAGGGCAGGAGGAAAATATATAAATTGAAGAGAACCGCCTTGAGAATCGACTTCAGAAAAGGGACGGTCAAAGTTGGGGTCGATTCTGAGGGATTCTCACACGATTCTGATGCAAAACAATTCGGAGAATCGAGTCAGAATCGGCGTCAGAATCGACTCATAATCGGGTATTTAATTTCTACTCTGACTGCCCCTATTATGTGACTCGTTGCCGGGAAAATGAATGTGAGAACAACAAGAAGCAGCCCAAATGAACATTCAGACACAGGGATTCGAACCCTAAACAGCCTCGGAAGATTGTCACAAATGCTGCATTTCACGAGGCGGTGTTCCCATTACACCATGTCTGAATTACTTGTGGTACACCTGAGTAGTATTATGATCATGTCGTAGGAGGATGCAGTAGATCAAGAGAAAGCTTTGGACTGCCTCTGAAATACATGTGTGAGACAATGCAAACCGCCCTGTTCCCGCTACACCGTGTCGGAGTTGCTTTCTTTTCCATGCGACCGCTTTTATTGGCCATGGGGTGTTCGAGGGAATGGAAGAATAAAAAAATCATCCAGGGGACTGTCTCTGAAATACACGTTTGAAAATACACGAGGCCGCTACGCCATATCTGCTCTTCCTGACTGGACTTTATTTGCTCCGAGGTTGAATCAAGGTTGAACCTTCCCGTTTCACGGCGCGGCGCGGGTGGACCCGGAAGCGAATCGGGCGGGTATGTAATGTAAGGCTGCCAAGCCCAGCTGAGGTGTACTTGCGACAGCTCACTACGATGGCGTCGAGCCCCCCGCCGGCACGGTCGTCGAGCAAGTCGACGTCGCGAGCAACGTGTGCCGGCTCGCCATCCCCGCATCAATGACGTCAACCGATCCCATCCCCATCGTCCCACTCAAGTCCCACCAACTCATTCCACCAGCACCCTATTCACCTACTCTCGATGCTGTCGACACCCCGCTCGCGCGGCCCCTCGCCCAAGCGGCCCGCCCTCTCCGGCTCCGCGTCCTTTGAGCCGTCTTCAACAGTCTTCTCCGACGCCTCCGACACTGACCACCCCGTGCTGCACCCCGGCCGCGTCGCCGTCATCACCGGCGCCGCCTCGGGCATCGGCGCCGCCGCCGCGCGCGAGCTCGCCGCCCTCGGGCTCAAGATCGCGCTCGCCGACCTGCCCTCCTCGCTCCCCCAGCTCACGGCGCTCGGCGCGGAGCTCGAGAAGGTGGTGGGCGCGGGGAACGTGCTGGTCGTGCCGACGGACGTGCGCGTCGTGGGCGAGGTGGTGGCGCTGCGGGAGAGGGTGTACGAGACGTGGCACGAGGTGGGGGTGCTGCTGAACAACGCGGGGGTGGGCGGGGGGGAGGGCGGGACGCGAGGTGCGCGATGCGCGGGCCTCATTTGACGCTGATGCCGATGCGGTGCGGGCGGCAGGGACGTCGCTCGAGGGCCTCGAGGCGTGGCACGCTGTGTTTGATGTTAATGTCTTTGGCGTCGTCAATGTGCAGCAGACCTTTGTGCCGGTGAGCTGTCCCTCCCTTATCCTGTATACGGTGGGCTAATGAGAGGGGGAAAGGCGATGCTGCACCAGGAGAACCCAGCGATGGTCATTAATACTGGCAGCAAGCAGGGGATCACTAACCCGCCGTGAGTGGACTTGCTTTTTGGCCTGCGTTCCTGCCGCTTGCAGTCCGCGGGTCTTGCGCGATCCCCGCGATGCCGCCGCCCGCCTGCTCTTTTGCCGCCCATTATCGCGTTCATCCTACGTTCCCAGCTTATAACTCTCGGGATTTGCATTATATTCCGTCCTTTCCTTCGTGTCCATTCCCCCGCATCTCTCGTTATCCGCATTCCTTCGCGTCCATATCCCATCCCGATGTATTGAATCCTGATGTATCCGTCCCTTCTTCATCTCCCGCGTCCTGCCTATCCTTCCTCCAGTCCTTTTCATCCACATCTCATTCCTTGGATCCCGTTTCTTTATATGTTATTTGTATCTCTAGTGTGGCGTCCCTCCTTCATCTCCCGCGGTTCCTCCTACCTCCTTCCTTCCCCCGTCCTTCCCGTCCTTCCTTCCCGCGTCCTCCCTGACATTCCTTCCCGCGTCCTCCCTGACATTCCTTCCCGCGTTCTCCCTGACATTCCTTCCCGCGTCCTCCCTGTCATTCCTTCGCCGCCTTCCTACCCGTCTTCTACCTCGCACCCTTCCCACCCTTTACGCACCGACCTTTCCCCCGCCTCCACCCCCGCGCCCCTCCGCTCCCCCCGTCCCAAATCGGCGCGCCCCATTCCTTTGCTGTGTCCCTCCCTTTCCACCGGCTCCTACGCTTGCGTCCTCCCTCCTCCCTCCTCCCTCCGCCATCCTCTTCCATCTCATCGCGTTGTCCCCGTATTCTGTCCCACCCCGCGTACTTCCCTTTTCCCCGTGCGCACCCTTTCCCGCGTCCTTCCCCCCGTTTGCCCGCCGCACCTCCGCGTTCTCGTCCCCACCCTTCTCGATCACATATCCTATCCTATCCCATCCCATCCCGTTCTCATGCCGCGTCCCTCCGACTCCATCTCTTTCTCCCCACCTCGCCTTCCTGTCCCTTTCCTTTCTGCTCTTCATTTTCCCGGCGCACCCCTTATCATCATCCCCCCCCGTCGCTCGATCCTCCCCGCCGCTCGTTCCCTCCCGTTCGCACCCCCGCCTCCTGTTTCCATCCTTGGTTTACCTCCTCGTACCCGCCGTGCCCGTCCCCCGCTCCCTGCTCCGCCGCGTTAGCCCTTTGACGCGTCGTCTTCGCTTTTGATCCCTCCCCTCGTTCTTTTCCTCCATCGCCACGCGACGCTCGCCGCGTCTCTGTCTCCAACTTCGAACTCATCGCTCCATCCCCACCTTCCTCCCTCTTATCTCGCCTCGCCCCATCCTCCTCCTTTAGATCCTCGTCATCCTCTCCCCTCCGTTCCCCGTCCCCGTCCTTCGCTCTCCATTCTCCATCCCAGCTCGTCCCTCTCCCGCCCGTCCTCCCTCCATCTGCTCTTTCTCGCATCCCCGTCCGAATCCCACTCCCACCCCGAGTCCTTTTCCCACCATCCCACATCTCCTCCCCGAGCGAGCCTCGTCCTTCATCCTTCATCCTTCGTCCCTCGTCCCTCGTCCTCCGCGCGTCTTGTCCCATCCCTCCCGCGCCTTATCCCATCCCTCTGCCGAGTTGTTCCTTCGTCCCGTCCATCTCATATCCCGCCTCTTCATCCTCCCTCTTACCCTCCCCCCGCATCCCCGCTCGCGGAATGCACACCTCGCCGAGCCGGGGCGGCGTCCCTCTTCTCTCTCCTTCTCCCTCTTGCTTCGCGTCATCTCCATATCGCCCGCGCTCTGCTCCATCGCGTTTCCTCCTCCCATTCCGTACCTTACTCGTTCTCCCCTCATCGACACCGACATAGCCCCACACTTCTTCTCCCCCTCCCATCCCTTGTGTTCCCCTCCCCCCTCCTGTAATCTTGCGCGCTCTAACGCACACTTCCCCCAGCGGCAACGCGGCGTACAACGCGTCCAAGGCGGCGGTCAAGAGTCTTACCGAGGTGCGTCTCTCCTTCTTCCCTCCCTCCCTCCCACCTCCTCCCCCGCGCTCTCCCTTCCTTCCCCTTCCCCTTCCCCGCCCTCTTCCCTCCTCCCTTTCCCTCGAGCGAGAGCGAGAGCAAGCGCTAACGACGTCGCCGGCAGGGCCTCGCGCATGAGCTGCGCACGAACAAGAACGGGGGGGACGTGACCGCGCATTTGTTTGTGTGCGTGATTCTGTTTCTTTTGCTGTTCTTTTTCTGGGGTGCGGGAAGAATGGATGTGGGGAGAAGGTCGCACGCGTGTGGCGGTCGACGAGCACGCATTTCGTACTGCTGGCGGTTGACGCTCGACCAGCGGAGGCGGAGGTCGTTAGACGGGGGGCTGTGGTCGGGACAGGGCGGAGGAGACGCGTGTCGCGTCGTGGCGATACGTGCGCGCCTCCTTGTGACCAGGGGGTGCGTCGCGCCCGCGGGGCGAGGAGGGGCCGTGGCGTGCGGCTCGCGCGCTTTCGTGTCGAGGCTGCCGTGGAGGCGACTGACGATTGGGGCGGAGGAAGGCGTGAGCGTTCTGCGCTACGGCCGGGAATGCGCGTTCTGCGACGCGCGGCTGTGATCCAAGTCGGGGCGGAACGAGCGTGGGGTCGGTGCGGGGGGTCGTTTGTCCTTTGTCGTGCGTTCGCAGAGGGAGTGAGCGCTGCTGTTGCGTGATGAGTGGCTGGTTTCAGGAGCGACCCGCCTCCCCAGTCGCAAGCCGCGCGCGCAGCGACCCGACGCCCCGCTCCTCTCCTCCTCCCTGTGCGGACGTAGATGGGACGGACGAGGGCGAGGGGAGTGGTCGGTGTGTGTGGCTGGCGCGCGGAAGGGCCTCTGCCGTGGAGAGGCGGCTGACGGGTGGGGCCGCGGCGCAGAAGGGCCCGCTGAGTGCGCGACGAGGCGCCGCGACGCGACTGTATAGTTTGTGCTTGGGGCGGAGGACCCTCGAGCGGCGCGGCTGACGTCGGGGCGTCGTTCTCTGCGGCGACGCAGAATGCCCGTACTCTCCTCGTGCTCCCCTCGTGCTCCCCTCCCTATTCCTCCCCCCTCCCCCTTCCTCTCCTCAACACCCAACTAACCCGCTCCCTCCCCACAGTCCCGGCTACACCTTCACCGGCATGACGGGCGGCGGCGGACTCGCGGAGAAGCCCGCGGGCGCGTGGACGGCGCAGGAGACGGTGCGGCACATGCTCGCGCGCGTGGCGAGGGGCGAGTTTTATGTGCTGTGCCCGGATGGGGAGACGGGGGCTGAGGTGAGCGATGCTCCTTTGCCTTTTTCGCACTTTACTTTCTTTCATCCTCCCTTCACTTTTTGATACTCGCCATTTTGCGTGCCCGGCGTTTTATCTTCCCCGCCCTTCCACGCCCTTACTTCCCCCCCCCCACTCGCGGACTTTCATCCTCTGCCACACCTCCAGTTCCCCCTCCGTACTCTGCGCCTTCCTTCCTGCGCGCTTTCGCTCCTTATTGTGGTCCTTTCCTGTCACGCTCCTCGTCCTCGCCCTACCATCCCGCCCTTCCACTCCCTTACTTTCTTCATCTCGGATGGCTGTTCTACTCGCTCTCTACCTCTTTCCCTTCTGCGTTCCCCATTTCCTTACCCATCATCTACTGCCCCACCCGCTCCTTCCCCCTTACGCTCGGGTCCTCTCCCTTCCTTTCCTCCTTCACTCTCTTCCAACCTCGTCCGTCCATTATTTCATTCTCGCAACACCCCCTGTCCTCTTCACACTCGTCTGTTTCCCCGTCTTTCCTGTCGTCATCCCACTTCCCTTTTCGC